GTTACATTATAAAGTTTTTCATTCAATTAAGAATCAGTTATGGTGGATATAGGATGGGAAGGAGAACCACGCTGTGACATTGAGGAATATTAACAAATCACGTTAGCAATTAGCAAATGTAACACTATTGCATTTAATCAGATCTTCATATAAATTAAATAAAATTTAATTTAATTTCTAAACATGATTTAAGATTAATATTTTGTGGTAATATGAAGCAACTTTATTTGGTGATTATAATAAAATATTGTCAGTTTAGAATTTTAATTTGAAATCATAATTTTCTTAAAATATTGTCATTTTATTTTGTATAGATGATGTTTTTCCTATTTTAAACTGTAAAAGATTGACATTTGTTGTTCCCACCATTTTCTTTATATTTGTTTTTGTTATTTAACTATAAGAATTTATCTTTTATTTATAAACTAATGCAAACTCCTCATTTTCCATTACGTTACCTTTAAAATATGAAGGTTTTTAACCCCAAAAATATGGAGATACATTTAACTCCACTGCTTTTATTATTTATTTCTTATTTTAATACAACTATTATTGCTATATATATATATATATGTGTGTGTAGAGTAGACGTTTTTTTCCTATTCATTGATCAAATTTATGTAGCTAATAAATTATTAATTTATCAATGAAAATTAAAAACTTGCCACATGTATGATGCGCGGGTTATTTCTTTTCTAATTATAAAATTAGTTAAAATTAATATTAAAAATAATATAGATTATTTATTTGATATAAAAATATATATATAATCTAATTATTGTAATTTTATATAATGAATCTAAAGAAGTAAAACTGTAAAGAAATATGAGTATCGTTTTCTATACGCATAGGCATTATTATTTGTTTGATTTAGAATTAATATTATCATAAAATTAAATTATTGTAAAATACGTATTTAAAGAAGTGAAGTGAAAAAAAATATGAATATCCTTTTGTAAACGGTTTTATAAAACCGATGATATATTATGAATGCTCTATTGTTGATAGGGATGTCAATTAAGCCCGGAGCCCGAAACCCGGCCCGAGTTGAGGGATAACCCTAAAACCATGCAAGTGAGGAACCTGAAATTGTGTTCACTACAATGTCCTTGAACCTATTTGTCTGGAGGCTCCTATTTTTATTTCGATTCATCCGAGTTTGGCCCATGTTTTTTTTTTCTTTTTGGATTTCATATGAAGAACTTTGAGACTAGAATCAAAGTGGAAGAGATGGTTATATATGTTCATGGTAGTTTTATGCGTTGGGAGATTGGACCTGTGTTTGTTTTTGGGCTTTGGAGAGCCCATTATGTAGGCCCAAATATAGATGGATCAAGCCCATCATAACGTTTGGTGAGACCCAAAGACTGAATTGGAGTCGTATGAAATCCCCTAAAATACTTAATCTTTAATCATACTAGTTTAGTACCCGCGCGATGCGCGGATTATTCCTTTTTTAATTATAATATTTGTTTAAATTAATATTAAAAATAATATAGATTATTTATTGGATATAAAAATATATATATAATTTAATTATTGTAATTTTATATAATGAATCTAAAGAAGTAAAACTGTAAAGAAATATGAGTATCGTTTTCTATACGCATAGGCATTATTATTTGTTTGATTTAGAATTAATATTATCATAAAATTAAATTATTGTAAAATACGTATTTAAAGAAGTAAAAAAGTGAAAAAAATATGAATATCCTTTTGTAAACGGTTTTATTAAACCGATATCAATGATATATTATGAATGTCCTATTGTTGATTTGTTTTCATTAATCTTTATAAAAATTTAATTTAGTTATAAGATAATACTAAAAATCATATTATTAAATATTATAGTTATCTTTTATTTTTAAAATAGTTAAATTTACATATACATTTTTATATATAAATAATGCATTTTGGAATTTAAAAAACTTATATGAACTTTCTAATTTTTTCTATAATTCTACACACATATATATATATATATATATATATATATATTTGTACTTGTATATATATATGTGTGTATATATATATAGTTTGTATTTTTAATATTTTTATATTTATGAATATATCTATATATATTATTTATTTTTTTAGTTGAATATGAGTCTTTTGCTAATTTGACTGTATAGTTTTGGTAGTCTATTCTGTTGACGTTATGTATAAATTTTTATAATTTCATTTCTACTTTTAAATCTCTACGATAAATATCTCACTTTTACACCATTGATATGAATTGAAATATAAAGAAAGTAAATAATTACAAAATCACCCTTGAAAAATTATAAATTTAACTTTTTAACGTAACTTTTTTTTTGCTTTGCTTGCAATCCACGTAAAGGTTTGTCAGTTTAAATTCCACAGCACGTAGACTTCTTCGCATCCTAGCCGGATTCAGCTTCCTAGCAAACCAAATACCGATTCAGATTTTATTAAGGAAAAACGGAGACAGAGTAAAATCGACGGAGACATAGTTGACATAACCGTCGAGATGTCGGAGAATCGGCGGACGTTAGATTTGTCGGAGAGACTATCTGGGATTGAGAAGAGACTGTCATAAATAGCGTTTCTTCTTTTAATTTTGTACTCTACTAAATATTAACTATCTTGAATATATATATATATATATACATATATATTCATATGCATAGTCATATACATATATAAATACTTTCTTCATACACATGTCCAAAATTATGTATATTATATATATATTTTGTATATATATATATGTATTATATTTTTCGTTTTGATTGACTCAATTTAAATTTGATTTTTATTACATTTAAAAAAATTATATATTTTTTATTAAAAATAATAATTATTATATAAAAGTAAAAGTAATATCCACCATAATATACTTATCATGGTAATTATATAAAAGTAATATAATTATTATGTAATATACTTTTATTTATCAAAATTTCTTTCGACGTTTACTTATAAATATCTAGATAAAAAACTATTAATTAATCTCATTTTTCTAATATACACACAATTTAGTCTGACCAACATAATATGCATGTATATAAAATATAAACAATAATAGAAAAATGATTGATATAAAATATAAATATTGATATGGTGAGGATGTTAGATAATAATGATATTTTTATCTTGAATTTTGAACTACTATATTTTTTTTTAAAAAAACACGTGTTTGTTTATGAGTTGGATTAATATATGAAATACAATTAAGCTCATCAACTCACTGATTCACTGTGTTATCAGATCTATACCATCTTCCATAGATTTCTCTCACTTTCTTTTTTCTCCTCAGATTTGTGAATTCTTCAACCTCTATATCCATCCATGTTTCTGATATCAAACTAAATTTTCAGATTTCCATGAATTAAAGAGCAAGATCTCACACCAGTGACCGATTCAGAATTTCTTTCGACGTTTATTTTTTATTCTATTTTAAAAATATTTAATTAAATTTTATAAAAAACTTATAAATATCTAGATAAAAAATTATTAATTAATCTCATTTTTCTAATATACATTTCATTACTTTACATATTATTTTAAATAAAAAAAAATAACAAATATATATATATATACACACAATTTAGTTTGACCAACATAATATGTATGCATATAAAATATAAACGATAATAGAAAAATGATTAATATAAAATATAAATATTGATATGGTGAATATTGATATGGTGAGGATGTTAGATGATAATGATATTTTTATCTTGAATTTTGAACTACTATATTTTTTTTTTTAAAAACACGTGTTTGTTTATGAGTTGGATTAATATGTGTAATACAATTAAGCTCATTAACTCACTGATTCGCTGTGTTATCAGATCTATACTATCTTCCATAGATTTCTCTCACTTTCTTTTTTCTCCTCAGATTTGTGAATTCTTCAACTTCTATATCCATCCATGTTTCTGATATCAAACTAAATTTTCAAATTTCCATGAATTAAAGAGCAAGATCTCACACCAGTGACCGATTCAGAATATTTTTTCAAACCCATTCTCTTCTTCGCCTCTGTCTTCTTCTGCAATCTCTTACCTACCCACCTCTCTCGTCAGTCGTACCGCTCTCATTCTCCTCCTTGCTCTCCTTATTTTTCTCAGGAGTTTTCTGACCCTGGTCAGGAACACCCTTATTTCCATTTCTAAACACGGGTGTTTCTTCGTTATTGGTATCCAAATGACGCGACTACACTTATGGTTTTTTTTTTAATTTAGTATTAAATAAATTATACTTATGGTTTTTAAAATACCATTTTTTAATAAGAATTGAAAATATTATTCTTGCTATGTTCCGTTATTATATTTACCGTCACATTAAAAAACTATTTTTTAATATGTAATAATTAATGTTAATCAAATATCATATAATATAAATGTATAAAAATTAATTATAATAATAATAATCTAGCATTCGTTTATAGGTATATGTAGATAATGTAGATTTTAACAAACCAACAAAAATTAAATAGAAAAAGAGTGAATAATACATTTGACATGAGTTATGGCAATACATCTCTTTATTTTCTTTTTAATATTTTAATGTGAGCATTAGTGGATATGACAATAAGTTTTTTTTAATTTCTTAGTTTTAAATCTTCTTTGATACTTTGACAAATTTGATATTTTTTTTTTGCCAATTCTAACAAATCGGTGTAAACATTTCTAAAATTTATCTTGAAATCACTAACAATGAACTTGTTTTCATAAATTGGTTTTGGTCATATTATATTCTTAGAAATTTGACCAGAATACAATGTTTACATTGTTACGTAGAAGATATCAATAAGCATTATAATATACATATAATTTAATTGTACCGATTAATCATCTAAAGAAGTAATATTAATTATGTTTTTAATTAGAAAAAGTATACCTTTTTTCTTTGATCCAATGATTTTTTTTAACAAAAAGCAAAACACCTCATTTGATGAGCCGGAATACAATATATATAACAACAATAGATATAAAAAAATAATAATAATAATAATAAGAGAGCTACATGAGTTCACTTACGTGTATATATTGTCAGAACGACTAAAAAGGAAGTAGTTACGATACCTGCATGTCGCTAGACATTCTAAGAATAGTCTCCATGTGTCGTTTGAGATTCAAATACCTCGTGAAGTTGTACTATTTTGCGTCCAAGAGTTCCTCCGAGTATGTTATTTACAGTTTGGAGTTTCGTCTTTCTTTTAGCCCATCTAAATTGCTCGTGTCTCCCCTTAGAATCTGCAGTACCTGCAATATACACAACGATGTCGTGAATACAAGGCGACTTAACTCTTTCGTATTCTCTAAAAAGTGGATTTTTTTGTGTTATTTGTTGTTTTCAAAACATGAAAATCTTATTTTATTCACATCGTGACATCTCGAATTGGGTGGACCTCTAGCGAAATCACGTCAAAGTCCAAAGTCATGGACATATACATATTGATAAGCCCACAACGTTTTTCAAGACAACGAACCTGTTTGGAAGGAGGAAAGATCTCTCAATCATTTGGCCACCGTTTGGAATGTGAGATTTTGTGAAGCTTCGTTCGGCTCGAGTTCTAGGGTTTTTTTATGTCTTCAAGTCGAGCAATACCAACCCAGGCACCAGTGGTAAACCATCTCTCCCGATTTGGGATATGTATCTTAGATCTATAAGATAGATAACTGACTCAGTAAAGAGAAAAATGGTCAACCTACAAATAAGTATATAGCAATGAAATCAAAGATTGTTTTAAGTTATTCATGCAATGAATGATCACAAAATGTTTACTTCACGGGATCAATCAAGAGAAGCTCCCAAACGACGTTGTTATCTTAGAATTGTACCACCATACTCATTCTTTCACTTCCGCCTTTTTAACACCAATAAACAATCATGAGAGATTCCATTAATTAAAAAAAATAAAAAAAAGGGTTTGAGAGTGTATCTAATTTTCAACTCACTTCTTTCATAAATTCTTCCCGGCCAAAGTCAGGCCTAATCATATGCCTTTCACGCATAAGCTTCTTCTCAACCACAACCTATAATAAAACCAAAGAAGATCTTTGTGATCAGCTTACCATTATGATAATAAAAGTCAAAATGACTACAAAGGAAATTTTGAAACCAGTAACTGAAAATCTTCACATGCATGCAAGGAAAAGAAGAAATCAATCGGATATGTGTGGTTAAGAAAAGACTAAAAATAACACTATAACATATAACATGAAGTCGGGTGAGGTCACGTATATATATGTTAAAAGAAACCTAAATAATCAAAAGTGATAAAACTATAATATTATTTTTTCGAATGTTTTTGGCTTCGTTCGCCAAACCTGCGCGAGATAAATAAAGAAGTTGAGGTCCGGCGAGTTTAGGAGAATGACTTACATTTACTTTAATAATAATTATGGCTTAGTGGGGTGACCGTTTTTTTTTTATTTTATTAGTGAATCCAAATGCGTTTTCCCACAATTTTTGGTTTATACTTTTAAAATATATTTATTAATATATTTTGATATTAATGTCACATGATACCGTTTTTTAATAAGTAGTGGGCTAATATTTATTATTTATTATTTATTATTTATATATTCTTATATTTATGTGTGTACGTTTTATCACTCTATTAGTGGGTATAAATATTTATAGTTTGATATTAATGTGACCGTTTTGTTAGAATTAGTGGACTAATCTTTATTATTTATATTATGTATCCGTTTTATCATTTTATTAGTAGGCTAAATAATATTATTTAATAAGAAGAGTTTATCTTTTAATTAAAAATCAATAAAAATTAAATAAAATGCCAACTTTATATATAGTGATTTTTGTTGATATAAAATCATCAATGTAACAATTAAAATTTAAATATAATATATAAACTAATGATAAATCATCTTAAATTTTTTATGTTATATATGTTATTTATATTAAGATAAAATCAGCAAGTACATTTATCTCCACTCTTTTTATTATTTATTCAATGTTTTTTTTACAACTATTATTGAATTATGTATATAGATAGAAGACATTTTTTTACTACTCATTAATCATATTAATTTATGCAGTTAATGAGTTTATAAATGATAAACAAAAATTAAAAATAAAATACCACATGGATGATGAAGTGGATCCTAGGTGTCATCACCATATTCCTTCAAATCAAACTTTTATATATATAGATTAGCTCTGAAACGATTTTATTCTCCGGTTATAATCAAAATTGGTCACCCCAATTGGTCCCTCATTGCCCGTGTGAATGATACAATGAGATGTTATCTATTTTCTCTACAAAGTGAGGGATCCCAAGAGTGCAATCCTATATTGCAGAGCTGGTACTATCTCTTCGACCAACGGCGAGACGAGACGTGATGCAAGAAAGCAAGAAAACAAGGTTTTATGCGGTTTTGTAAGTTTTGCAAATCCGAATTATGGAATCCAATCTTTTGGCTGTAAAATGGGGGCTATAACCCACATCTGCTTGGTCTATTGAGACTGTAAACATTATTTTATTTATATATTCATCTTTACCAAAAAAAAATTGGTCACCCCTACGAACACCAAGTGGACAAAATGTTCAAGTATGGATAGAACTTAGAAGCAAGATATATATATTGGAGTTACATATATATATATATATATATATGCGTGTGGGAAGGGAGGGCGAATGGGAGGGGAGGAAGATGCATCAAAGGATGGATGGTTTTGTCGGAATCGATCGGAGACGGTGGAAGAAAAGTCTCAGATTATGATCTTGCCTATCTCTCCCTTAGAGTCTACTCTCCGCAACTTGCCCGAGAGAGAGAGAGAGAGAGAGAGAGAGAGAGAGAGAGGTCTCATGAGTTCATTATGGTGTCTACTCTCTCTCATTCATTCGGGAATTTTACTCAAATGACCCACTTGGGTCGCAGCAATTACATGGTACATCACCAAAAAAAATAAATTTTTTTTTTCAACTTTTAACCCACTTTTCGGTTGGAAAAGTCTGAAATACTTTTTTTTTCATTTTTTTACGACCTTATTACGACTAATATATAACTGATATACAACTAAAGTAAGAAGTAATTATAATCGTATAGAGATGAAAGTCTCAAATAAAACGTAGTTTTTTTTAAAAATTCGACAGATGATTTTTTTGCCACCTTTTTTAGAATCAATTGTAACTATATTTAGAATTATTAGAATGACTTGAATATCCCTAAGTGTTGAGGTGTTGCTACCTGTATTGCAGTTAAAACGGATAAGGCTCAAATAACAGACTTTCCAAGATCAAGAAGAAGACTTACTGGTTTTTTAGAGGCTATATAAAGGCTACATGAAGGGCTGATTCAGATACAGAAAAAAAGGTACAGAAATCTACACGGAGACTTGCTTCTTCAAGGGTTTTTTGAGAGGCTGCTTCTTACTGCAAAAGAAGAGAAGAACATCAGTTTTTCAGATCAAAGAAAGGTCTAGGAAAGGAGCAATAATCAAGCTAAGTTTCTATTTCTTTGGGGTTTCTCTTTTCTACGTGTTTTGAAAAGTCAGAGGGGTTCAAATCCTCTGGTTGTATCCGTGTAAAGAACGAGTATAGTGAATTGATCCTAGGGCTAAAGACCCTGCTGAGACGTAGGTTCACTCACATCGAGTGATCCGAACTCGTAATCTGATCGTGCAAGTGTGGGTATGTGCGTCGTATGTTTCGGTGTTCAATCGGTGTTAAACGAACCACAAACAACCCAGAATCAACCGTAAAACTACAAGTCTGAGATAGTAATCGGAAACCCTAGAATCTAAGAATAGAGGAATCGATCTTAGAGTTTAGTTATAAGGAAGAACTTATCTTTCTAGGTGGATTCTTGTCTCTGTTGCGCTGTTCTTTCTTCCTGTGTAGGAATCGCCGATCGCATCCAACGTTTCTGGTGATTGTGTGAAGAGAGAGGCAGAGAGAAGTCTCTGAGGAAGAAGCTTCGTGACTACTCGAGAGGAAGAAAAGAGATTAGGGTTACAATTAGTAATCATAAAAGGAAGTGGGCTTTGGTGGGCCAAAGAAAAGGATTTGGGCTTATACGGAATTGAGGCCTGACCCACTACAAGTGGTATCAGAGCCCGGTTCCTCAGAACCAGGGATTTACAGAGGACTTACCGTGGGTTATCGGTGTTTCTTGAGCAGAAAGAAATAGAGGAGGCAGCAGCTTGCTGTAGCGAAAAAAAAAACCTGCAAGAACAGAAAACCAGAAAACTATTAGCACAGAAAATCAACTAAGGAAAACAAAGGAGAACCTGAGTTTAGGGACAACCTCAGGATAGCAAGTACCGGTGAAGGTGGAGCTTGTAAAGACTGCACAGAAAAGAAAAATGAGTACAGTAAAGGTAGAAATCGAAAGGTTCGATGGCAAAGGGGATTTCATGCTTTGGAAAGAGAAGATGGTCGCATACCTTGGAAACCTAGGATTAGACGAAGCTTTGAAGCTGAAACCGAATTTTCCAGCAACATTTACAGATGAGCAAAAGGAAGAAGTGTCCAAGAAAGCAAGGAACACTCTGATTCTATGTCTAGGAGAGGAAATTTTAAGAAGCGTTATCAAAGAGAAGACTGCAGTGGGAATGTGGAAAATCCTTGAGGAAGAATTCATGGAAAAAGCATTACCGGAAAGAATCTACCTCAAACAGAAATTTTACGGGTTTCGTATGGATGAGGGCAAGACTATCGCAGAAAACATATGCGAGTTCAAAAAGCTAATTTCAGATTTGGAGAATATTGATGTGAAGATCGAAGATGAAGACAAAGCAATCTACTTGCTAAACTCATTGCCAAACCAGTTTGAACATGTGAAGGACACATTGAGATTTAGCAAGGATATATTAACACTGAAAGATGTGATTAATGCAGCATATTCAAAGGAGTTGGATTTTAAAGCATCAGGAGCATAGTTTCAGAATCAAGGGGCTGGTTTAATGGTCAAAGGCGGATTTGAGATGAAGACAAAGCAATCTACTTGCTAAACTCATTGCCAAACCAGTTTGAACATGTGAAGGACACATTGAGATTTAGCAAGGATATATTAACACTGAAAGATGTGATTAATGCAGCATATTCAAAGGAGTTGGATTTTAAAGCATCAGGAGCATAGTTTCAGAATCAAGGGGCTGGTTTAATGGTCAAAGGCGGATTTGATAACAACTCCGGAAATCAGAACAGATTTGACAGCAAGTATAACTCGACTTCACAGACAAATATGCAACTTGGGAATAGCGGAAAAAAGATCTGTTGGTATTGCAGGAAAGAAGGACACATTAAAAAGGAGTGTAGATTGCGGAAAAAGCATCAAGAGGCTCAAGGGAATGCACAAACAGTTACAGCAACTGGGAATTTCTTAGACACTGAAGTTCTCACAGTTTCTAAGGAGGATTCAAGAGACGGTTGGGTACTAGACTCGGGGTGTGTTTATCACATGATGTCTAAGAGAGAAGTACTTTTAGACTTTAAGGAAATAAATGGTGGAAAAGTGTTGCTAGGTGACAACAACACTTGTGAAGTCACAGGAACATGAGCGGTGCAGATTCAAGTGGGAGATGGCTCGATAAAGAAGTTGGAACAGGTCAGGTATGTTCTGAAATTGAAGAGAAATTTGATATCTCTCAGCTGTCTAGACAGAAAAGGGTTATCCTACAGATCTAGAGATGGAGTTTTACAAGTCTACAAAGGTTCAAGGAAAGTTTTGCGAGGGAAATTGCAAAACGGGTTATACATGTTACATGGATTGGCTGTGATAAAGAGAACAGATGTTAACTCTTCTGAGTTGGGTTTGGAGAAGAATGTAAAGTGTTTCTCAGGAATTGAGAAATGTGTTGATGACTCTAAGGTGAAATTAGAGGCACTACAATATGCTGGAAGAATTCAGAAAGTTTCTGAGAATCTTAAGGAAAGTTCAGGAGGTTGTGAAGAGCTACAATCAGTAGTTGAACAAGTTGAAAGGTTACGATTGCTAGCTGAAACCAAGGTAAATGGTTTGATAACCAAGGTCTCACAAATGGGCAGGTTCAAAGAAGCAATGAACCTGTTCAAACTGGTAGACTAAGAAGTCTGAGAATTATGGGGTCTTTTAGCAAAGGTTCTAGGATCAAAATTCAACTATGGATCTCCAAGTCAAGGTGGAGATTATTGGAATGACTTGAATATCCCTAAGTGTTGAGGTGTTGCCACCTGTATTGCAGTTAAAACGGATAAGGCTCAAATAACAGACTTTCCAAGATCAAGAAGAAGACTTACTGGTTTTTTAGAGGCTATATAAAGGCTACATGAAGGGCTGATTCAGATACAGAAAAAAGGTACAGAAATCTACACGGAGACTTGCTTCTTCAAGGGTTTTTTGAGAGGCTGCTTCTTACTGCAAAAGAAGAGAAAAACGTCAGTTTTTCAGATCAAAGAAAGGTCTAGGAAAGGAGCAATAATCAAGCTAAGTTCCTATTTCTTTGGGGTTTCTCTTTTGTACGTGTTTGTGAAAAGTCAGAGGGGTTCAAATCCTCTGGTTGTATCCGTGTAAAGAACGAGTATAGTGAATTGATCCTAGGGCTAAAGACCCTGTCGAGACGTAGGTTCACTCACATCGAGTGATCCGAACTCGTAATCTGATCGTGCAAGTGTGGGTATGTGCGTCGTTTGTTTCGGTGTTCAATCGGTATTAAACGAACCACAAACAACCCAGAATCAACCGTAAAACTACAAGTCTTAGATAGTAATCGGAAACCCTAGAATCTAAGAATAGAGGAATCGATTTTAGAGTTTAGTTATAAGGAAGAACTTATCTTTCTAGGTGGATTCTTGTCTCTGTTGCGCTGTTCTTTCTTCCTGTGCAGGAATCGCCGATCGCATCCAACGTTTCTGGTGATTGTGTGAAGAGAGAGGCAGAGAGAAATCTCTGAGGAAGAAGCTTCGTGACTACTCGAGAGGAAGAAAAGAGATTAGGGTTACAATTAGTAATCATAAAAGGAAGTGGGCTTTGGTGGGCCAAAGAAAAGGATTTGGGCTTATACGGAATTGAGGCCTGACCCACTACAAGATTAATTACGAAGTCGTAATAACGAAGTTGTTTTCGAACAGACAAATATCACGTATTTATTAAGGATAATTTCGTCTTTCCAAAAAAAATTAATTCCTTATGTGGTGGTGTACGCGTGAAATTGCTACGACCCAAGTGGGTCATTTGAGTAAAATTCCCCATTCATTAACCTCTCCGGAGTTCGAGGCGCGTGAACTTCACTCCTCGGATAATTAATTATTCTTTCTCGACCGACCATTCCGTTTCTTTCTTTTCTTCAAAGCTTTTTAATTACAGTTAGTTTTGTTTTTTTTTTCATCCCCCCTTGTTAGTATATGATGATGGAGTTCGGTGATTCCTTTATTCTTTTTTTTTTATTATTATAAAATGAAATTTATCCAAATTAGATCCATTGATTCGCGATAAAGTCTACACTTTATGAAAAGAAGGATGCTTAAATCCATAAAAATGTTTGCAAAGTTAAAAACTCGAGACATGATGAGTCATCGTATCATAGAATTCATTTCACCAAATCAACGTGGAATTCAACTCCGACTTCTTATTTTACTGTTTCACCCGCTGACTTTGTTTGGTGACCGAATATTATCTGGTAGTTTTTTTCTTCTAACCTACCGCAGTAAAAAATAGGGGTGGGCAATTCGGTTCGGGAATTTAGTCCCGAACCGTACCGAACCGATTAATTCGGGAACAGTTCGGTTCGGTATTATATAAAAATACCGAACGGTACAAGATTTAAGATACCAAACGGTTCGGGAACGGTTCGGTTCGGTTCGGAAAATACCGAACGGTATTTTGATATTTTTATTTTTTAATTAAAAATGTTTAATATTAATAATTAATTATGATAATTACTAAATATTAATAAATTGTTTACGTCATGTATTTAGATTTATGTTTATGTTTATTTATTAATAATAATTAATAGTGATATTTATTTTGTTTAGCATTATCAAAGTTCAATAAATTATTTATTTTTATTAATTTTGATTATATTTAATATAAGTTGTCTATATTTTACTTTATAAATATTTTATTTTTATCTCTTTTTATTTATTTTTTATATTACAGATACTTTATTTTATTGGTAAAAAAAGATTGATTTCTACATATATAATATGATTTTTAAAACGTAATTTAAAGTTTTGATCATATTTATAGAAAATTTCAAAATTATTATGTTAAATTTCTTTACGGTTACATCAAATTTAAAACTTTTATTTTGTTGTCTAAATTATTGTGTTGGATTTTTTTATTTTTATACTATATGAATTATATGAACCGTCCCGAACCGTCCCGAACCGTTCCGAACCGTTTTTATTTCGGTTCTTATTTGGTACTTATTTATTAGTATCGTTCCGTCCCGTACTGTCATAATACCGAACCAAACCGAACCGAATAATATACGGTACTAATTTGGTACAAATTTTATAATACCGAATAAATCGTTCCCGAACCGAACCGTTAAAATTCCGAACCGAATCCCGAAACGCCCACCCCTAGTAAAAAACATATAATTTGCAATCGTAATATCGTCCACATAATTTAATCCGACCATCATAATAAAATACTATAAAACATGTTGACCTTGCCTCCATGCCTACAGTATTAGCAGCCGGGTTCGGAAAGTCAGAGCGTTCCTCCATGGAGAGTATCTGATTGAAGTCTCCCATGATCACCCATGGAGATGAGGATAATGGGGAATACGTCGCTAGCTACTGCATTTCCATCCATAGGCTCCAACGTTCGAGATATGAGTTCTTCGCATAGATGAAAGTGACGGTGAATCTGATCCTGCCATGGGGAATCTGAACTCCATAAGTGATAGCTTGCACAGAGAATTGGTAGAAAGTGACTTGTACTGCAGGGTCCCATACCACATAAATTCTGCCATGGTCATCAGTACAGTGGTTGTTGCGGTGTTTCCAGCCCGAAGATATATCAGATTCAATCCTCGTAACATTTCTTGTTTGTTTGTGTGTCTTTAAAAAGGCTCCTAGAAGAGATCGGTGTCTCAAAATCCATTCCTTTGAAGCATAACGCTTATTGTGGCCGTTAAGACCCCTTATATACCATCCAAAAATCCATTCCTTTATATTGGATTTGGAAGCATAAATTGGATTATGTTTCGCAAATTGAGTTAGTAAACCCTAATTTAACATAAACGCAATCTGCTTTTTTGTGTGGGTTTTAAATCTTTCAAACCTAAATAAATTTAGGTTTTATATATATTTTTTAAATTATTTTTAATTTTCATTGTTGTTTTGTTAGATTTTATTTATCATTTATATGCATTTTTATAGATGTTAAAGATAAAAATGATATTTAAATCTAAAATGGTATTTCGATTTTAAAAATATATGAACACTTAAATAGAATCTGATATCGTATTTTATATTGTATTTAAATTGGTGGATTATAATTTTTTACACGATTTGTATTTGATTTTCTTTTTTCTATTATTAGAGAATATTTAGAGAATATTTTATGTTAGTATTTGTTACGTCAATATAACAAACTATTTCTGTATTTTATTCCTTTTACCCTACTTCTTATATAGACAATCACATATACTCACACCATTATAATCACCCTCTGTGCATAAAAATATGCTTGGATACGATCATTCAACCGATAAAATAGAAATAAAAAGTGTTTGTATTGTCTCGAATTTGAGTTAATTTTCGAAACATTTTTCCATTCCAATGGTCAAATTGGGGAAGAAAACGTAATTCCAATCAGACTTGCTTTCCACCCCAAAATTAGTGTATTTATTTCCTACATTTTTACTGAATCACAATATAACTATTTATTTATTTTCTTTTTTTCCCGAACGTGAGCACCATACAGGACTACTCAGTGCGTAAATCTGACGGTAATGAAAAATTTCGGTGAA